AAAAAAAAGATCCATGCTGAAAATTCTACTATTTTTAAATATTTTACGATTAACATTAAGCTGTTTTTTCCAGAAGGATATGGCGCTTATGGGGAATATGTCAGTACGCGATTGATAATGCATCATTGGTACTTGAAGATATTGTTTATGGCTCGGTTTCGGAATTCGTAAGAACAAGCCTCAGGCCACAGACTCAAGTAAGCAAAGTATAAATCAAAAGTCGAAACGCTTTCAGCATTCGCTTTCCATGTGAGGTGAAGGAATTCAAGAAGTAAACCGACTGGTAGCAAACGCCAATAGCAACCTAGCAAAGCTTTGATGGCCTACACTCTCAGGAGTTGTTAGAAGCAAGGTAATAGCGAGAATTTAATTCCTTGACATATGCCAGGACCGATCAGACAGATCTCAGAAATTGGTTCTTACACTGATAAACATTTATGTAAATATTAAAAATATAAATATGAAATTACATTAATATGTAATCTTCATTTTGCGCGCAATGCTTTTCACTTTTGCTTTTCATTTTTTACTATATTTTATTTCATTTTCTACTCTCCCCATCTTTTCATCCGTCGTATTGGCGAGGTCCAGTTTTGGTGCTGATAAGAAATGTATACGATTTTATCAATCGGAAAGAGGTTCCTTGTGAATCTGTTTCCCTATCTGTTATATATTATTGGACCCTTTTATTATTATCAAACTTACGTATTAATATTATTTCATTTTAAAGCATTAATTTTACTGTTAAACTTAATTTGACCCTGAAATTCTTGCTGTTTATGAAATTGGGTAAATGGGGTGTTATATTATGAAGATTATTCGGACCATATTTCTGGGAGTAAAACCCGTAATGTTATTGAGACACAGCTCCGCGCCAAATTTAGGTATTATTGGCTCTCTCTGTCCCAAGCTAATTAGCTTAACCCATCGACCACCTATTTTAGCTATGTAAATTTGCTGTTCACATAGTGGAAGGACTAAGACATCTCGAGAAATATGGATTCATTCATCGACGTCTCTCGATCGATGTTTGCCTGCTCACCTACAACTATAACGTAAAAATTGCAATCTATGGGCTCACGCCGGGCGAGCTCTATCCACGTGCTGATGAGCTGGAGGATGTGGACTGCTGCCGATGGCTACCACCAGAATGTTTGCCCGATTCGAACAGTACACAGCGAGCCGCGTACGGTGCATCCGGAATGATCTATTCGTTCGGTATGATACTGTGGTCGATGTTCCACGGTGCAGCGCTACCGTTCGAAGATGA